TATGTTTCTGTTAATTTCATAGGGCCCAAACAAATATATACAGAATTAACAGATCCTCTCTCCACTCTTGCAAGGAGAAAACACCTTATTGAACCGCCACGATACGATGTAGCCACCTGGGAAGCGCCAACCCTATCGATGAAGTAAGCCAGTAACTCCCATGCAAAAGAAACATTCGCACAAGATGTGGAGTTTTCATCATGGGTAGCATGAACATAGGAAGGAACTCCTCCTTGGCTATTTAGAGTCGTCCTTTTGATCGTCAATCCTTTTATCCAGCTTAACTTGTAAGAGCTAATTTTGAAGATCCTTTTCAAATTTAATTAATTTATTTACTATGTTTCGCAACAAATTAATGTTTAAATAAGAAGGAACATAAACGGTAAAATTTTTGAGTGCCTAAAATAGGACCATTAATTCCTATATTTTATGGATAGGAATTTTAATGGTTCCATGCAAGCCTGCAGTAATTATAAACTGTTTCAACTTTTTGCAGAAAATTCAAGACTTGAGGCACACATGTAAAATAGATAATTAATGCATACGAAATTGAAATCTTTTTTGCCCACCAAAAGAATAAATAAAAAGAGAGAGAGCGAGAACGGCGGTTTTGAAAACAATTCGCAACTGGCATAATAAAAATATGATAAAGAACCTTCCTGCAGACGCGTATTAACAATTGTTCTAGTATCCACAAAACTCCTCACTGTCAAGTTTACACCTTTGAGAAAGGTTTCTAGAGTAACTTAAACAGCTTTTTGCACAAGTGGATCATCAAGGCTTTGTTCAAACCTACAATTTAACATTACCCGAACTCCATGGTCGGTCGGGCCAAATCTGCAGAGAACGCCCTTGCCAACGCATTCTACATCACAATAAAAGCTTGGTTTGAGCGACCATGGACGACATTGTTGTGGTACCCAAGATGATATCCTTCGGATCAATCACCGTTATAAGAGCAACTTATCTGGGAAGCAAAACCATCCCCTTCATCCGGCCTTCCATTTTCCTGACAACAACTTGAATGCTTCACCTCTAGTAATCCTTCTTTAGCAAAGTCCATTCCGATGCAATCTGTAATTGTAATGTTGTAACACCTTTAGGCTGCCAACCCTTCTATGGCAAGTCTACGAAACCAGTTCCTTCGCATCTTCTCCATTTCTCGGCCGTTGAAAACATGCCAACAAATTAGGATATATAAGACAATAATATCAGGCACTTCCAATGAGTGTTTTCTGCATTTCATGAAATAGGGGACAACGCGCCACGCGCATCTAGACCACTGATATGCGTTACAGAAGCCATCTATCAAAATATTGTAGGTCCGGAGGCATCTGGATGAATGCCACTAGCACACAAGTCCTTGAAAAACCTTATATCAGCCCTGCGGGCGCTCTTTGCCGAGTTCAGACAAGGCCATGTATAAGAGAATTATAAGTGACCATGGTCCAGGTATTCCTTTTTGCGATGGAGCATTTTCATCAAGAAGCCTCATTAGCCATCATTTAATCCTTTCCTCCTAACAGTAAACAGTCAGTCATGATAATTGCTAGGTAACAACATTAGGTGTACAACCCCTTTGCTTAGCACATGTCAAAAAAATTTCCGCTAGCTTGATCCATTTGTTGGTTATGGAGTAGACATATCCATTCTCATCCTAGCTTGATCCATTTTGTTGAGTAGACAATATCCATTCATCAAAGAGTTGTAAGTCACAACATCAGGCTTTATTCCTCTTTGAATCATCCATTTGACTGTAGCATGAGCCTTTGCAACCCTTCCTTCCTTACAAAGTCCATCAACCAATATGTTGAAGGTAAATAAATTTGGTGCGATGTTTGCTTCCAACATTTCATTCAGCTGCACAGAAGCTTCTTCCAATCGGCCTGAATTGCACAGACCATAGATCAAAGAGTTGTAAGTAACAACATCAGGCTTTATTCCTCTTTGAATCATACATTTGACTATACCAAGAGCCTTTGCAACCCTTCCTTCCTTACAAAGACCATCAACCAATATGTTGAAGGTAATTAAATTTGGCGCGATGTTCGCTTCCAACATTTCATTGAGCTGCACAGAAGCTTCTTCCCATCGGCCTGAATTGCACAGACCATAGATTAAAGAGCTGTAAGTCACAACAGTCACAACATCCAGGGCTTTTATTCCTCTTTGAGCCATCAATTTAACTATACCATGAAAGCCTTTGAAACCCTTCCTCCTTACAAAAGAACCATCAAACCAATATACTGAAGGTAATAGATCTGGCGTGATGTTGGCTTTCAACATTTTGTTAAGATCAGCAAAAAAAGCTTCCTTCAATCGGCTTGACATACACAGACCATTGATTAAAGAGTTGTAAGTTCACAATGCAAACGGAGAAATATGCCTTCAACTCTTCATTTTCAAGAAGAGCTCTAATGCCTCAGTAAACCAATCTATCCTTACAAAGGCTGTCAATGATAGCATTAAATATGACACCACATCAGGCTCAACAACCTTCCCCTCGACCATTCTTTTCAGAATACCAAGGGCCACATTGGTTTTTCCTTATTTAAACAACAGAGCGTTGACAATCACGTTATAGGTATAGACATCAGGGTTGATAGCCTTTTGCACACATCTCATCAAATAATTACCAACAGCTTACCATCAATCTATCCTCACTACAAAGCGGCGCGTTAATCAAGGTATTAAGGCGTTATAGATGGTAGGCGTTGAAACCAAGTTTGAAGATTTTCCCCCAAAAGAGAGAACCCAACATCCATCGCGTTCAGATGGGCAAAGCAATTAGTCAAAAATACAAATAGAATAAACAAATCGAGAAGAAAATTCTAGGACAATTCCATCTGTTTGTAAGAGAAATTACAGTCTCATAATGTTTTCAATCGAACATAATTTATTAAAAGTTTCCATTAACAGGCGGTGGAGGGAATAATTTATTAAATTCCATAACAGGCGGTGAGGGATTACTATGAAGCATCAAATGGAAGGAAGCCAAAGCATCATCAATGTTATCGAATGAATAAGATTTGCTTTTACCTGTCGCGTGTGTACTGGTAGAAGTACTATAAGAAACGGAATCAAAAAGCCGATGAAGCCGAAAATTTGTAAGGCATCTGGTGGTTGTTGAGATCATCTTGGATAATATATGAAATTAAAGCGAAAGACCTAATCTTGGATAGAGTTTTTGGGACAAATTTTATAATGGCGAGAAGGAATTTGGTCTCATTTAAGGAGAGGAGAAGGGAGTGAGGGATGAAGAATCGATGTTTTGCGGAAGAGAGAAGATAAGGTATTTGAATGAAAAGTTTACATGTTTTATGACAAAAAATTTTAATAGAGCAGAAAAATCTTTAATATGCTAAATTAAATTAAAATATGTGACAAAACTAGATCAAGCCTGCCATTGCCGGTTTGCTTTTATAATTTATAATTAAAAACTATATTTAATATATATATTAAAAATTATATTTTCACATGAATTTAATATTTCACCTTTCCTATGGTTTATTTTATTTCATTTCGATAAATTCAAAACATATGACTATAAAATTAAATTGTGGTATTAATTTTAATTTGAATAGATAAATAGATTATAAATATATTTAATAAAATTTAATTTTATGCATAAACTCTTAAAACAATAGTCTAAAGATCGATATTCAGTCCCCTTCAATTTAAAAAAAAATAAAAGAAAAAGAAAATCACTAATCATTGTAATATTCAAACCTATTAATTAGTTTTGATGCTTTTTTTTATAATATTATGTTTTTTAATTTTATAAAATTTCTACAATTAAAGAAATAGGTATTTTTTTTCATCACAATTATATTTACAATTACACATCAATAGTATCATCAAAATTATTAAAATATCAAAAGAAAAGTCGAGTGGCGGGATGATCGATTTTTCAATTTTAAGCCAATTTATTTAATCTAATCTATGAAGGTCAATCTCATCGCTTAAGTAATAGTCAATCATCACAATAATAATAATAATAATAATAAATTTATATTATAATGCTTCTTAACTTTGAAAATACATGTCTTAGTTCGCACTCTAACTATATATATTTTGCACTCTCCCCTTTAAACATTTCTTTTTTTTCTTTTTTTTATAAATTTTTAATCATCTATTTTATAATTTTACTATAATATATTTGAATTTTTTGAATTATATACTATATCTAAAATTTTAATCTTTGAGAGGATAATATTAAGACTTTAAATTTAACCAAATCCATGTTAAATTTATTTTTGAAGATATGGGAGAAGAGTTGTGGTAATATTAGAATATATATATATATATAATCCTGAATCAAAAAAAAAAATTTCAAAAACCTTACTTGGTACTCTCTCCACCGAGTATTCTCTTTTTTCTTATTTTACAAATTTTTTAAATTTTTAATTAATTTTTAAACATTTCTTTTCCTATATCTAATCTAATATATACCTATATCTAAAATTTTAAATATTTAATTCTATATTTAATTCTTTAAAAATTTTTGAAAATTTTCAAATTGAAACTTTTAAAACCTATTTCTTTTTCTTTTATATATATATATTATATATATATATATATATATATACCTTCAATATTAAATCAATTTCAGTTATTTTCTTTCACGGTGTTTTCTTCATTTTTTTTTTTAATTTTTCGGATTTTCTAAGTTTGAATTGTGTTTTCTTTTATTTAATTTTATATTCATTTCCTTTTCTTCTTTGATTAAGGTTAATTTCAACTCTTTGGTTTTCTTTTTTTTTTTTTTTTCTTTTTTTTTTTATGATCTCTTTCTCTTGTGTATCTTCGTGATTTCCCTTATCTTTAATCTTTATATTATTAATAATTTTTCTTTATTATCGGGTCATATTTATCGTACTTTGTGGTAGTTGCAGGGTATATGAAATATTTATGTTATGAGAAATGAACGGAAGGAAAAGCTAAGTATAATTAATTTAAGTATTTTTTTTTAAAATTGTATTGTATATATTTTTAGCCAAATTGTATAAAACTGTATATATAATATATATATATATTATATTATATATATATATATATATTATTATTATTTATAATATTTTAATTCATGTAATTATTATAATAATAAATATATGTTTTTCATTGGTATATTGCCATACATTCAAAGTATTGAATACTAAATTGGAGTATTTGAGTTTTGAAAGAGTTTCATGAAAACCGAAGTAATTAAAATGAAAAAGAGAATTTAAATATAATTTTTTATTTATTATTTATTTATATTATTATTATTATTTAATTATTTTACTATTTAGATGAAAGAGAATCTCTTTACTATTGCAGTTAGTTTTTATATATATATATATATAAATATACTTATAATATATATATATATAATATATATATATATATTACATAGCAAAGTGAACATTATATCAAATTGATAGCAAAGAAACATGAAATTTAATAAATACATTTTAAATTAACCAAAAAAATTTTTGATAAATTAAAAATAAATATAATAAATAAATTAAATAAATAAAAAAATTGAAATACCTTATCATTATAGTTAAAATAATATTTTTATCATTTTAATTTTAATTTTATTACCTAAATATTAAAAAATTATATCTGAAGAATCAGATTTTCAAAATTAATATTCATGAATAGTACTTATCTATATCTATATTCCAGGTTTGAATTTTATTTTTTTATTAGATCTCATAAAATACTTTTTAATTTGAAAAATTATTATTTATTTAAAATAATTAACTATATTTATACTTAAATATTTGAATTTTTTAGTTTTAAATTGAATTGTTTTATTTTTTGTATCCATTTATTTATAATAATTATATATTTATCATTATCATCTTCATAGATGGAATTTTTTTTGTATGTTTTTCACAAATTTATAAATTCTAACAAAAATAATTTAACTAATACTTATTGGTCTACGCGACTTTTGTAATTTTATTGTATTTACCCTATTTTATTTTTATATAATATAATATATATGATATATACATTATATAATATATATATATATTATATATATATACTTCTTTACTTCTCTATTTTTATATATACAATAAAAAAGTAATTTCTAATACAATGTACAATAATAAAGTAAAAAAGCAACACACGCAACACGCAGACTTCCACCTAGTTCTATTTGAAAAAAAAAATAGTCACTAAGGGGTTTCCAACTAAAAATATTATAATAGATAATCATTTACTGTCAATATAAATTAAAATATCAATTAATAATAATCAACTCAGCCACACTCAAATTTGATATCATGGCCCATGGCCCATCCTCTCATGGCGTGTGCACCAGGAGCCAATACGCCATATATGGCCAATCGGTCTAATCCACACTTGACCAACCCTCTCATTTTTTTATACTCTCCTTTCTTTCCATACCAACAGGAGGCCACCCTATGGTTTTCCATATAATCCATATCATCAAATGCACAAATGCACACGGGGGTGCCGATCTCCGTATACAATGACCGAGCCGGATCGAATACCAGCCTCAACAAACCGGAGTAGTGATGCACTTCATCCCGCATTCTCAACGCAAACAAGGCAATAAATGTTTGGCAAAAACAAATAATCAAAACAATGCAATTAAATGCAAGCATATTAAATAAATTAAACATTGTAATGCAAGAGCACAAATATGAACATTTCATAGTACCTAATTCAATAAATATAATAGTAAGTAAATAATATAATAATGATAATATAAATAGATTGGTAACTTACTGAAAAATAAATAAAATAATAATAAAAATAATTAATTAATTAATTAAAGACAAATTTTTGTATAGAATGATTTTAATTATAGAAATGATTTTATGTATGATGCAAATTGTAAATACTATTTATTATTACTTACATTTTATTACTTACATTGCTAAATGGAAAAACACTCTAATTTCAGGTCCTAACTTATTGAAGCAGTGAACAACTAGAGCGATCTAAGTGAAATGACATTCAAAGGAGAGGAGAGAATTGAATCGAATAAAGTACTCTATTTTAAATATATCGAGTTAAAAAATTATTCTAAATAAGCCTATTAACTTAATCATTAAATAAAACTAGCGTAGATTTTATCGAAATTTTGGCAAAACCTCCACTAAAAAGAGGAATTTCTACCTGCTAAGATAATGTCAAATACTCTCTATATATTCATCAATCCACATAGCTCATCCATCCGGCAATCAATCAAATCAAATGCACATCCTCCTTTACACGATAATACCAACAACTAATGATTATCATTTATTACTCTTACTCAACAATACTCAACAAACTCACTTTCAAAGAATCTTAAACTCTAACTATTA